ATATATATATATATATATATATATATATATATATATATATATATATATATATATATATATATATATATACACACACACAATAAGGTAAATTCATAGTTACATGATCTTTGATTTGTTTAGATTATAAACATTGAGCTAAACCCATTATTTTAAAAAAGTGCAGGATTTTCCAGCTGCAAGCCAAACAAATTCTGAAAATCATGCATTGATTTTAAGAGAGAAATAAAGGTCAGTTAGATCCAGTGGAAAAGCTGGTTAGCTACAGAGTATCCAATAAAAACTATGCACAGCTGTTACTAATAAAGAACCCTTTGGTCAGTCAGGATGTAGAAAGTGCCAAAGGAATGTCAGCAATACACACCATTCACAGGTCAATATGCATCAATCTCCCATAAGCTGTGTCTAACTGATAATAGTACACACCTTTATGTTTTTATCAGACTGTGGTGCACAGAGATACAGGGAGACAAAAGTAGCTTCTCATTATGAACTAAATAACAAATTCAATGTTGAACTTCTATTTAACATAAAAAAGACAGATAATGCCAGCTTTAGAACCCATCAAAGCAGACAACACATCAAAATAACCTTTTGAAACCGGTTTACTCATTTTCATTACTTGTTATGAAAGCACTTGAAGAAAAAGGCACCTGAATTTGCAAGATCTTTTTTTTTACTGATAGCAGAACAAAACAGACTGGAAATACTGTTTTCATTTACCAACAGCAACCACTAGGTGACAGTATATTATAAGAAGAAAACACTTCCATCTACAGCCACTGCAGCCACTTCCCTTAAAAACACTGAAATATGTTTTAATCAATTAAAAGAAAAACTTTATTGCCCTGAAAGGGAAATTAGGCTACATATAGAACTGCATCTAAACCTGATGAATGTAAGAAAAAAAAAACTTTGTTGCCTCTTTTAAATGACTGAAAGTTTATCCATAATCTAATGATTGTTTTATCATTTCTAAAATGTTTTGGCGTGTTATTAGCTTAAATTTATCAACTTTTAAGCTTTTAGGTGATATCTTTTACATTGCAAGCAGTTGTTCTTGTTTGTTTTTTTAGCCACTTGAAATTACCCGGTGTATGAATGTGGTAAAAATAATAAATGTGCCTTAACTTTTCTTATAAGCAACTAAAAAATTCAATTTACCTCCTTACCGATGTTCCCACTTTCTTTGAAGTCAGATCAGCAAATATAAAAGGCTCAACAGAGCCCTAAAAAAGTATATATATAACTGGAGATGATTCATAATACCCTACATTAAGGTTGTTGGTTACAATCCATCACAAAGTAATAGACCAAATATAAATCTTACAGTAATTGAGATGAATCTCTCATTTCAACGACAAGCCCTGTTTTTAAGACCCAATTACTACAGAGTTCTCTGGCGCAGTTTAAGAACGAATTTCCACCACCGACACTAGAGGAGATGCTGGTCATTACATGCTGAGTGGAGAGTGAGAAAGAGGATAGGATGGACGGATGGACATGGTCCAAAATGGGATGGATGTCTTCCCGGGCCGTGCTGCGTCGAGGGCAGTAAGATTTATGATATACCCACACAATCTTAATTTGTGCTCAGCCCGATAATGCATCTCAAGGCCAGAACAGTTCTGCTCAGTGTTTCTTAACTGGATGTTTCTTTAATTATATGTCAGAGGCCGTAAAACTCGGAGAGGAAATTTCCCCACAAAGCACCGTTTTATGTCTTGGTCATTACTGTAAATTACAAGTAACAAGAAAAACTAGAAGGCTAATGGATGGAAAATGCAAAAAGAAAAGCGGATTTATTTATATCCGTATTCCGTCTCTTCACCCAGTTGGTACACGGGTCATCAGAAGGACACAAACCTTCATGTGCTGATCAGGTGAAAATATAGCTCATCCAAGCAGGTACATATGGGAACAGAAACCAACCTATACAAATAACACATACATGGATCATACAAGAGCTGTTTAAAACATATACATATTCACAAAACTGTGATTATATATTGCTTTCCTCTACCTTACGCCAACAAAATCAGTCTTCTCCTAGATCTCCGTGTGCACACTTCCAAATGTTTTTTTTAGGCAAAATTAATTACAAGTTACAGCGCCTTGCAAATATTTTATACCGCCATCCATTATTTATTGAGTTTCTGTGATACTGCCTGACCAAGTACATTTCAGAACATATATATTTTTCTATACAAATTATACTCTGAAAGCTGTGGCACACATTGTTATTATCTTTAACTCTCATTATTGTAATACTCAGATTTAATTTTATTCAATACTTAGTGTTGGTCTAAAATACAGTAAAGTTAGTTGTAATGAAATTGAAAAGTTTAAGGGGTACAACTACTTTTGCAAGGCACTGTAAGCTTGGAAAAAACACAAACAGGAATTTCAAACCTCTACATGAAAACATTTGTTAGCACTAGGCATAGCTGCTCCCCGTCTGCAGCCCTTAGTGCACCACAAGGTGGCTTTAGAATACCCCCTTTCTGTCATAATGCCTTTTCCATACACTATTTTTAAGAGGGGGTGGGGATGGCATTGTTTAAGCTCTCTTGATGCAACACTGTTTTCCTGTATGGTTCTCAAACATTGGTTAAAAATGTCTTAAAAACAGGGGCTTAAAAATAAAAAGTTTCCTCTATGCTTCCCCTCTTTTTGTTCTTTTCCTTGGCACGCACACTCACTCATAGAAACGCATAATAAGTCAGTGCATCGTTTTCCTATTAATCCAAAGCCACCTAGGTGGCATCGGGTCCGTCTCTGCAGGCAGAGAAGGCTAGGCTGCGGCTCGACTCAGCTCAGCTCGAATCCTGCGCTCGACTCGATGGCGTATAGCAGCTTGCTCCTCATCAGGTGCTGGTCGCAGAACTCGGGGAGCTTGAGCAGGTTCATGCAGGTGCTGGCTGTAGGCAAGCGCTCCAGGTCGTTTCCACCGTTGTGAATGCAGAAGGCTGGATAAAGCTCCTGAAGACAAACAGATAATGGAAAAAAAAAATGTAAATTATGTCTCAATGACGCATCATCTCAAAGTTTTATATTAATTACATTTTTAAACAAGTAAAAATGGAGACATGATTCACTGAAATAAAACAAGTTTTATTTAATTCAAACAATTGTTCTGATTGTTATGTTAGCAGGGTGAGTGGGCGGAGGCTGCAATTTGTTCCTGATCAGTGGGGAGCAAAGGCTAATATGAGGTAGCTGGTTGTGAACAATAAAGCACAATTCAGATACACCAACCAACCAACCAACCAGCTATCAGTTCTTAGCCTTCATATAAACAGCTATATCTGTGTATAGAGCAATAATTAACTTGCTAATGAATTCATGTGCATTTCTTAATAAAATCCATGAATTAAAAGAAAGCATATGAAGTGTAATCTTTTATTTTTATTACAGATTATGAACCAGAAGAGGCTAAGAATATAGGTTGCTTGCAGAATTCTGGATGAAGCATTTTTACAGAGATTCTTCACTTTAATCGCACATTTATAGATTATTTATAATTAATTGGATCTATTGTTTTGGCTTTCGTTTAATTACATATCTACACATTTCTCTAATAATTTGACCATTTCCATTTAGCCTGTTAGCTTGGGGTTCCCCAGTTTAAAACAGCTCACTGTCAGGTAAAATTGTTTTTAGCACAACTTAGTAGCTTTTCCACTTATTGCATTCAATGATTGGAAAAATATTAGTTTCCGTCATCGTTCAGGGGTCATCGAGCTGAAAATTGGACAACTTCAAAAAAGGCCAGAGAATTCCTTTCTCTATCTCTGTAAACAATTTTATTCATTCTTTATTTCTGGTCAGCTCTGTGAATCTACAAACTAAATACTCTACCACCTATAAAACAATTACTGAAGCCTATTCAGCATTGATGAAAGTTTTATAGCACACGCTGTGATTGCGTGTTGCTTCCTAACAATCTCTCCGATGCCAGTGACGTCCCTGGTGTTAATTTGCAGTTTGAGGTGGATGAACGTCTTCATCCACCTCAAACTGCATGAAGCATGCATCAACATGTGTCAGTAATGATCCCGATTTCCAAACTCATTCCGATTAAGCAATAAATGTCAAATTCCACAAGTAATTAAATGTGCCAAGAGCCAAATGTGTGCAGCAGAAGTATAAATTTAGGAAATCAGCTTAGGGCTTTGAAAGCTACTGAGGGGGGGACGGTTGACCCTTGGCTGGGACTCTGAAAGGATGGTCGTTTCATGTTGTCCATCTGGCCTTTTTTCAAATCAGACCTTGCAGCTGATGAAGCCAATTCTTCTGCAAACTATGACACTGACGGTTTCCATCACGAACAAACTACTAGGCCCGGATTTCACCACGATATTTAACTTTAGAGTTTATGTCCCTCTGGCTACACTTACCCAATTAAATGGTTCTTCAGGGGTTCTGCCATAATGACCCCATTTTTCTGACAATTACCGTATTAAACTATCATTGCTTATTGAAAAAGTATCATTACCACAACTATCATTTTGAGACGGGGGGGAAAAAAAAGAAAAAAAAACACAGCTTCCATCATCTTTTTTAAATGGCTTCTCCTGACAGAGCTATTTCTCCTCTAATGAATCCTGGGCAGTTTTCACGACAGCTAATTAAGGCTTAGCTGGCTCGAGCTGAGGGCCAGGTCAGGGGCCACTCCCCCACAAATTACCACCCTTTAAGACTCAGTGAGACATCTGGGTGGGCGGGGGTCTCTATCTGCACGCTGGCCAAAGTCAAATTTAGTAAATGAGAAGGAGGGGATCATTCAAAGCCTGACAATTTAAAGGTGACTGTTTGCTCCCAACTCTAAAGCAAGATGAAAATCTACAAAAGCAAGGCAGCAATAACTAAACTAAATCACACGGTCATATTCAATGAATTAGAATACTCATTGATAAGGCTTCTTTGAAAGATAAAAGTTTTTGAAACCAACCTGTAAGCAGCTAAGACGCAATTATTCATGGGGACCCCATTTTTTTGTAGGTAAAAGACAATATTCCTCTATTTTTTTTTTTGTTTTTTTTTTTTATAAGCTGAAAGTATGAAATCAGAAAATTATCAGAAAAAGGCCAACAAACATCTGCCTGTATGAATTCACTATCTACTTCACTTAGTGAACTGTGTTACACAAATAAACATTCTAATCTATTTAAAACCATATCACAGAGACTCACAAAAGTATTCACTCCCCTAGATTTTTAACATTTTTATTGTCAATTGTTTTGATAAATGGTAATTTGATAAACAATAAATGGATATGAAGATGTTTTACAAATAAAAATCTCATGTGAATAAAGCCCAAAGCAACCTTTAGATGTCACCTAGTCAATAAGTAGAATAATGCAGATATCACTTATACTTTTAGTTCCTTTGGTGAAGCATAGCAGTGGCAGCATCATGCTGTGGGAATGCTCTTCCCAAGTTAGAGCAACAATAGATGTTTTAAGAGCCTTTTAATGTGTGAGAATGTCCTAGTCCAAACATACATTCACTTGAAAGACCATGGCAGCAGCTAAAAATGTCTGGTCACAGATTTTAATACCCTGAATACGGGAAGCATGGTGGTAGCTGCATCACACTGGGAATGCCTTTGATCAGCAGGGATGGAGGCTGATCGAAGTAACTGGGAAGATGAAGGAATGCAGATAAGATATTAGGTGGTGGCAGCCTAATTCTTAGGGCATAGAGCTTGGAATCCTGAGGTTCTGAGTTCGAGCCCCAGTCCCAAGGACTACCACTCTGGCTCTCTGAGGAAGACCCTAAACCCACACTGCTCCCCGGGTGCCCAACGATGGCAGCCCACTGCTCTCCAAGGGTATGGGTTAATTGCAGAGGAAAATTTCTCCAATGTGAGATCAATAAAGTTAAATGATATTATTATTATTATTATTCATAAATGCAAAGCAATTTATGCAATTTATTCCAAAAATTTGGAATGGGGAGGAGGTTCATCTCCCAGCAAAAATGACAAAAATATTCAGCCAGAAGTACAATGGAAGGGTTCATAATAAAGCTTATATTTGTATTACAAGGGTCCAATCAAAGTGCAGACCCTAAATACCAACAATAATTTGTGGTAAGAGTAGATAATTGTTGATCTCCATCCTTCTGATGATGCTTTTCACAAAGAGAAATTGGTAAAAATGTCCAGTCTATAAATGTACAAACCAGGCAGTTTCTTACAGATTACAGGACTTAACGCTGTAACTGCAGTGATACGAAATACCGACTGTTTGTTTATCCTCCAAAAAGTGTTGGTCTTTCACAGAAATGATCAAATGATTCATAAGTGTTGGTTATTTGCAAGGAAGCGAAAAAAAATCAAAAGGCCCTTTTCTAAGGCACTGTATGATTGCAGCTTCAGTTGGGACAAAGTGAGGCATAAAAACTCTTTAATTACGCTCACCAACGTTTTCTAGTATTTCTCAGTACCTTTTTAACTGTCTCATAAATCCAGTCAATGAAAAGTCTAAATGGCTTCCAATTAGGACATCGTTTTAGATATAATTTGCGGTAATGATTCAAGACTTTTAAAATGATATTCAGTAGCAGACAGATTTAATTCCTTGGCAAATTCATCTGAGCAGCTATTGCTGCTTTCAGCCGTGTGACCCATTAGAAAAAAAAGGTGAAGAGTTTAACCATTTACCAAGTTCAAAATGACAATATTTGTCCAACTGATATTTCCAGACGCACACAGAGCTGCAGACAGACTCCTTCAACAGAGGAAGGTCACGAACTATAACACAATAGTGAACGTGGTGATAAGAGTTTACCACAGCGGCCTTCCCTGAGCGCAGCTAATAGGAAAATGATCATTATGAGGGTTCTTATCAGTCTGGGTTTTTTCAGGACATGCACATTAAGATGGAGCCCCAACTTCTGTCTGGTTCAGAAAACCTGCTTCAAATAGCAGCAACGGATGAGTACAGAAGGAGGGGGAAGTTTGCTTCTGGTTAACACTCACCTTAAAGCCCAGCAGCGGAGGTCTGGAGCAACTAGTGACAAACTTTAACAGTTTGCGCTTTTCTTCATCTGTAAATCCTTCAACCACTTCCCAGAAGATCTGGATAACTGGATGAGTAGCAGAATATCCACCTAAAGGAGATTAATGATTAACATAAAACATATCATTTGAAAATGCTATTTGTCAAATTTGCTTAATCAAATACAAAAAAGATGAAGATAGCTTAAAATCTAAATTGCACAAATACAAGAAAAAAATAGATATTGAAACAAGATCATCAAAATAAAAGTTTCCTCAATTCTTTAGAGATCTGGATTTAAATAATAAAAACATTTAAAAAATAAGGAATTTTTTGAATTTAGGTTGAAAAGGTTTCAAGGTAATGTGAAGCCTACTATTATAATTTTATATCCTATATATGTTTGAGGTTGATGGGTCTGAAAGAAAAACTAACCTTGACCCATACAGGCCTATGCAGAAAAAACACAACAGCACCAAACACCTGGTCTGTTTACCCAAACATTTATATGTCTTAATAACTCTATTATGTGATGAGGCAACTAAATATATAAGGAGTTCAAACGTGTACAGAAGAGAAAACAAAACAAGCATTTAAACTTCTTCAAAGCCTTAAAAATAAAGCTCACTTTCAATGATAATGTCTTATTCACTCTTAAAGTATTGCTTATATATCTAAACTCCTACGGTTTTGTCCATAAACACCTGCATTACTGTGCTTCTCATTATGGTGCAATCCAAATAAAACCTACCTGAATAGTTTGTGAAGTTTTTTAAGTCATCGAGACAAATCGGAACAAGCGCTCCAGATATCAGCACCTGTCAGGATGAGGCAGGCAACATGTTTTCCTTCTTATCATGTATTATTATAAAAAGCCTTTTATGTCAGTAGTTCAATACCTGAATTTCCTGCTGATCAAACATACGCAGCCATTCAAGGTTGACCACATTAGCCAGACCCTGTCTGAAGGCCAGGCAGTGAGGCCTGATCTGCTTGTTGAGCCTGTAGTCAGCCACTAAATGGATGTAAGCTATCCGGTTGGCTGTTGTCACTGGGATATCTTTTCCTCCCAGCTTCAGTTCAACCACCTGCAGGGAGAAAAAAACAACAACAACATAAATCTAAATAAAAAAATTCAAAGATCATATTTTGTAATGCGATCAGAATAACTTGGCAAAGGAAAGGACATTTTAAAATTGGCAAATAGTCATATTGATATGTTTTAAACTAAAAAAAGTTAACTTATTTCTTGTTCTATACTGAGATAAAAAAAAAAAAAAAGTTTGATACGGTTTCTCAAAGTTGTATTACTTCTAACCAACATACCTCCGTTCATTTATCTGATGATAAATAAAGCCTCAGAAACATTTTCATTAACTTAAAAACCACACACCTAGCCAAAAAGTTTACTCAATGTTGGCGTACTCTTGAAAGAGACAGGAGAAATGCTTTTTTTTTTTCTCTAAACCTGATTAGGAAAAGGAATCATGACCCAAACGATGCATTTTTCAACAAAAATTGCTGATAAGCTCCAAGTGCGGCAATACTGACAACACAGGGCGCTTAACGCACTGTGGTCCACCTAATCTGCTCGTTCCCGTAGCCCTGCTAACTCTAACAGTCAGGAATCCATTTTCTGCCTTTTCACCTCCCCACCAGAGTCTGATTATGTGCTAATGTAAGAGAATTACCTCTGTTATCTTGCTAGCTTTGGCTATCTCTCAGGGGCAAATGCAGGGCAGACGGCTCCCGGGTGTGCTTAATCTTTCACAAATTGTTTTCCTCTATCGCGCTCTATTTGGTGACCAAAAGGGCCATATTGTCACTCTGCCGTTTCAGGTGCTGTTTGAGAAGAGCTAATAGGACACGTTAAGGCCCTGAGCAAACAGGGGCCCCGCGTAGTGATCAGGTCTGAGCAAAGCTGAGCATGTCGCTTCAGCATTGAGCTTTAAAGAGAGAAAGGAGCATGCTTAGGGGCTGTTGGCTGCTTCCGTCATGCCTGGTGTGATATAATTAGTGGAGCGAAGGGTAGGCGGAACGGTCAACAGAGCTTCTGCGTCCCCCTGCACTGCAGCAGGGCTTAGAGCGACAGAGCTGACGTGCTTTATCTCTGTCAGGGCTGAGAAGTGTCTCATCAGGCGGGAAATGAATTATTAACGCCACAAAGAGAAACCAAACAGGAGGAAGAAACAGAGCTGAAAAACAAATACAGAAGAGCTGTTCATTCTACTCGGTTCTAGCATTTCCACCAGCATTTACCTGAGCTTCTCCCAGATCGTTGTTGACCACGGTGAAGTTGAGACCCAGCTCTTCCACATCACCCTCATAGCTCTTGAGGAACAGAAGGTTGCGATACATCTCGGGGTCTAAAGAGGCCAGGTGGTGGATGTCGACATCTGCGCTGGTTCCCAGAAGTTTGGATAGGAAGAAACTAGCAAAAGGGAGCTCCACCAGCATGTTCTCATAGAGAGCCTGAGGAAAAGGAGGAGATCAGTAACAGGAACCTTGAAGTTTTTCCCTTTTTGATCGGTTACAATCTCAAAATATAATGTATTTATGGGATCATTAATTAAAGCAGATTGAGATTAAGTGGACGGAAAATGGTTCATGGGTCTCGTATTTATTGAAATAAAAACCTGAAAAATGAGCAGTCTACATTTATATAACCAATAGTTTTTCTAGTAACAACTAAATGCTGCAGTTATTTCTCTACCACTTTTACAGATGTAAAAACTAAAATGTCTGCCAATCTTTCTTATGAAGTAGCCCAAGCATCAATAGTCTGGTGAGTATATTGTAGGGACAGGATACCTTTCAAGACTGTCCTATTTTGAGCCTCAACACTATCAATCAGCTTCCCTGTCCCTGCTAAGGATAAGAATTCCAGACAGCATCATGCTGCCATTACCGTGCTGACCGTGTGGATAGCGTTTTCCAGAGAAAGGGCTTCCAAAACACATAAGATTTGATATGAAGGCCAAGTGGTTAACTTTTAATCTCATTAGACCAGAGGGAGTTCTTAAACTTGGTTCCCGTTTAACCTACAAAGTTCTTCTGATTTTCATTCAACAACTGAAATGTTTTGTTAATTAAACACTCCAACCTGTGAGAGCTTTAAATTTCTATCTGTATAACGGAAACTTTTTTTTTGTTTGAAGGAGCATCAACTTTCAGATCAGTTTCTCAGACTTTTTCAGCAACAATCTGATTACCAGTTACTGTTCTGTCTCATCACCTTAGAGCTTTATAAAGCATTTGTCTATTATATCTATCACACTAGAAGTTTCGTAGTCACAGAATATGAAAATATCTTAAGGTTAGGATTTTTTGGGGTCACATATTGATACTGTATTTTTTTTTCCTCTTTAACATTAATGGAAATAGAATGACAACAGTCTGCATCAAGCACATTATCAAACTTCCTGCCCAATACTTGAGATTTAGAGCAGTAAATCTGATCGGCTCAAAGCGTTTCAGATCAAAACACAGAGTCCAATCAATCTTAACCATACGGGCTTCATCTTTCCTTGATTCAAACTTTATAAATGCCGATTCTCACCTTGACCCTAAATGCAATTAAGAAGCGCAACCGGGCAGGTGACTCATAAAACCCCTAAGCTAATGTACTGGAATAGTTCGAAAAAGAGCCTATTGGAGACATTAAAATATACAGGCCCTTATAAATGATAGCGCTAAAAACCCTGACCGCATCAGCTAAATGGATTATAAATCTAGAGGATTTCCATAATGCATGCATCTTAAACACACACGAATGCATAAATCACGGCTATTTTCTAAACACAGGTTAACTACGCAACTTCAAACATTGTCTATTTTTTATGCAAAATAATCCACTTAGTGTTACTCCCGGGCCGGCACTAATTTCAGACCATATGCGCTGCGTGGCCCCTTGAAACCTATCAATAACACTTGTGCCGGGAAGAGGCAGCAATAAGTATATGGAAAAAACTCGTAGCCTTATTTTTTCAATGCCACCAGCCTTATTTATGAGTGTTTATTGCCAGAAATTGTGCCAAAATGACTTGGGTTGGAAAGAATTAATTATTATGGCCGGGGGCCTTTTAATATAAGTGAGTGCAGTGGCAACGCAATTAAAGCGGATCGCAGCACCATCAGGTAGAATAAATGCCAGCGGTATTGCAGGTGCGTTCTGTTAGCTGCCAAATAAATTCCCTAATTTACAACATTATGAATCAATAAAATTATAATGCCTTTCAAACGCATCTTTATCAGAGAAGCAACACTTTCACACCTCAGAGGAGAGGATGCTGTTCTGAAGGAGGATCGGAGCGATTGCAAAGTGAGAAGAACTGCCGCTGATGAGGGCGGAGGTTCGGTGCTAACGAGATGGGGAGAATCTCTCATGGCGCGTATCCGCCGCATGAGAAATAGGAAGAGTGCCGACACTCTCTGTGATCAAAAGAGCTCCAATCTTTAGGCCCAAGCCACAAATGCAAAGCAGCCTGCGTGCATGTTTTCAATATGTGAAGCTTAAATCTTTCAGTCCTGTCAGCGGGGTGGACAAGTGAAGAAGAGGGATGATGGCCGGCCTCTATTCTGATGCTCAATCCCATTTCAGTGAGTACCCCAAGACAAGCCACTCCCGCCTGTAATACATCACCTCCACAACAATGGCACGCCTCGGACATTAATTAAGAATATTAATCTCCTGTGTCCTTTGAGCTGCAGTGTGCGCCGCGCACGCTGCGGCAGCGGTGATGCAATTCCAATCCATATAAACGGCTTGCCTTTTATCCAGGCAATAACGGCACTAAACAAATATCAATACGCCTCTCAAATGGCCACTCAAACGTCCATTTTTATGGAGAAAGAGGAACTTAAGGTAGGGTTAATTGAAAGTCAAATTCAAATTAATTTCCCTCAGCCTAATTGCCTGGACCATTAGCTACAGAGAGCACAGTGCGATAGAGGCAGGAACCGTCGCAGCAGATTGATTGCTTCTCTCTTTAACAGAACAGATGAAAAAGAAATACCAGAAGAGGCGGAGCAGAAGCCACGATACCCCAGTAAGCGGACGACACCATCTAATACTGTTTGAGAGAAGAGCTCTTGGATGTTCTTGACTGTAAAACAGATCAAAATGCTATTACCACATGCTTTGAACGCTTATTTATGTCCTGTCTTTGTGAGGCTGCTGATTTAATGCTGACCAAATGCAATCGCTACACAAACAAGAGGTAGGAATCATCCACTAATGGAAGTCCTAATTGAGAGGTGACCGCTTGTCATGAGGTAATTCCTCTTCGTGTTGCGATGATAGCTCCCTCACGAAAGGCATCTTCATAAACAATCACCACCACATGCATTAGGGATGATTTAAAAACATTAGGCTCTAATAAACAGCTGCATCAGAGGAGAAACACAGCAGACCAAAAACACTGTTGTCTTTTTAAAGAGTTTATTTCAAGCTGTAACCACAGTAGAAGTTTTAGGAATAACTAAAGTTTATATGTACACAAATAAATGATAGCTTCATAGTATTTGAGAGGAAATTTTTGGTGCCCTGAAAAGAATCTTGAAAATAAAATATAATTTTGCTCAAAAAAATTCCATACTATAACATTCTTTTAACTTTTTTGCCGTGACAAGTCAATTAGCAACATTGAGCTGTGTCTAGCTGTGACTACTTTAATAACTCAGGCATGGTTATCGCAATTAGAGGCTGATCTTCAGAAGGGTGAGACACGTGCAGAGGAGATCTTTAAAGAAGGAGCAAAATTATTTGGGTTTGCAATTTAGTATACAACCATTTTTGTGTTTGTAGCTTTATCAATACGTAGCTAATATCCTAATGTCCAAACCGATCAGATTCATGGGTCGAGGTTATGCAAACATAAACATTTACATGTGCAGAGCGATTTTCCAAATCTGAGCTAAACTGCAGGAGCAGTTTGGATGTCTTTTTCACTACTTCTGAAGGTTTGATACAAACTAGCACAATCTCTATAAAATAAAAAATAAATTACTGGAATAAAGATGGTGTTATTTTTATTAAATATTAACAGAATAAATACCTTTATTGTCCCAGAATGGGGAAATTAATGAACATTTAATTGTGGGAAATTAAAACAGCCTGCAAAAAATATTCCTTGCGGTGTGAAAATATTCACACTGGAAGGAAATCTTGGTTTCAAGGTTTTTTTTCTCTCTCATTTTAAAAAAGCACAAACATTTCAACTGCTTTAAGACAACGCTGTTTTAGAATAGGGGCAATCAACTGGTACAGACAACATTCTCATGTTTTATATATGAACTTTACTGTTTTACTTTTGTTTTTTATTTTACTTTTGCTCTAACACTTATATATAGAGATTTTTTTTGTATTATACTTAATATTTTAAAATCATTTTAAAAATTATCTCCAACTAGACAGCTTAGAAACTCGTCTTTCTTTTAAGGCCACTCTTGGTCAGCTTGTAGAACATGTATTCTGCTCATTTTAATTGGCGGTTAAACAGTTAACACATCTTAACATTTACCAAGTAATCTTTGTAGATCACCCACAACGCACCCACTAAATGTAAAAAAAACCTTTGAAGATCAGACTTCTAGCATTTCTAAAATCTGATTTCCCAAAAACTCTTCTAAAAATTATACCGAAATCCATTAACCCAGCATGGAGTTTGAAGGTTTAAACAGGGCAACTTTACTCTTCCCTTCCTTCCTATTATCTGCTAAAGGTCTTTCTCTCCCTCTTGCAACTCAAATCTTTCCTTTAAAATAGATCCCAACATCTCTGCATCCTCTGGCTTAACAAAGTTTTCAACAATTAAAATAGCTAACTTTGTTCCTTCTTTCCTCAATAACAACCCATATAAAAGTATGTCATAGGTTTCTTGGTGACAGTCATTATGATGCGCTCACTGATATTTTTTATTTCCCTCTGGCCATCTTTAATCTGATGAATGTGTAAGGGCTAACCTTTCCAAGGATCCTGCCCAGGAAGTAGTAGTGTCTCGTGAAGGAGTCGCCCACCAGCATCTCTGCAGCAGGGTTGGGAAACAACAAGCCCTCATTGGTAGTCTTGAAGAAACCTTGGTTTGGATTAAAGCCTGATTTCAGGAGCTCGTTGAGGAACTCGCGAAAGATGCCGCCTCCGTCAATGCCGGCTTCATCCAGACCATGAGCGTTGAGAAGGTGGACTCGAATCCTCTTCTTAAGGTCTGGTTCTGATCGGTTAAAAAATGTCAAAATTTATTATGGATGAAGAAGAAATGCATAATTTTATAAACTGTATTTTTACCATTATAATCACAACAATCTAATTTTACTTCTTGAACATCATCATAATTCCCTTTTCTTTGCTTTTCCATAGCAGTTGCAGATATTTCTGACATTGACATTTGATTTTAAAAAAGAACCTTCCAAGTGTTTGATGGTTATTAAGAATTTTTTTCTCCTGTGGGATCTCAGGATCAACAAAACAGTTACTCTAAAAGTTGATTATTTTTTTTTTTTTAGAATTGCCATGGGATGTGTGATAAATTAATTTATAAAGTAATGAAACTTCATTGCATTTATTGAATCTTAAACATTGAAGTTGGTAAATGTTCCGCATTTAGTCTGTTTGAGGTGAAGTTATTTAGGAAGAAATAGGCAGATTATAACATACTAACAGAGACATGCCATTAAAATGTTCAGATTGTTACTTATAAGACGTTACTTGATGCAACTACTTTGATACTTTGAGTTGCTCTCTAATCAAATCTATGAAGACTTCTCCAAGGATCTGTGGATCCTTTGAAAACAGCAGGAAATAAAGGAAAGTTTAGCAAGAATAGATTTTAGCAGACTGTTATAAAGGTTTTCCCCTAAACAAACACTTGTTTATGAGAATAGAACATTCAGATCCATTCCATACAGGTCATCTTTCAGGATAATAAAGGTTGAGCTATAAATCAAATCAGCCCTAACTTATAGACACACAAATGATATAGATCATGTCTTCAACCTAGGTCTCCTACTACTCTTTTTAATCAGAGTGCACCCCCCCACATCACCAAAGTACCCTTTCAAATTCAAACGCAAAAGAGGTGGCTTAAAATAATTGATTCGCCTTTTATGTGATCCATTATAATAATCACAGTCCCAATTATGCTTTACTGAAATTCAATACCCTGCAGGAGGAGGGAGGTAACCTTCATCCTCCATGCAAACTGGAACCCCGGGCCTCAATATGGAGTCTTTATAGAGCTTCACGAGAGTTTCAGTAGCAGCGTGGGCATCTAGTAAACCATTTCTGCCTTGTGTTCGTCATTAAATTAAGGAAATCATTAATGCATATGGACTTCTTAAGTTGAATGCAACTCACACACAATCACATAACTGTGCTTTTACTGAAATTACAGCGACACTCGTCTCACCGTTTTCTGGGGATAGTTTATCGTAGGCGTCTTCGTAGATGTAGTTGCGTCTAATGGTTACATTGATGCCATCAGGGAACGGCCCATCCCCCTGCACGTCCCGTTTGTCCACCGAGATCAACCGCTGGAAGATCTGGTGGGAATAAATCGTTTCAGTTGAGCTTAATATACAATTTTACCGTAGGTAGATGCAAAAACTATAAATGCTGAAAAAAAATCCACCAAAGAGCTTTATGCCAGCAAAAAAACGAAAAGAGCTTTTTAACTTTAACCCATTATTCATCATAAAAACCTCAGAAGCAAAGATAATTGAACGTTTCTTCAAGTATTAAAAAATAAAGCCTTTGAACAGCATGACTAAACTTGAGGATAGAAAGAAATGTAAATATGGGGTTTCTCTGTGTTTTATTTGAACACTTTCATACCAAGTTCTCCAACCAGTCCAATAAATAACAACTAAAATATATATATTTTTTTTTATGCAAAGGCTTATTTAAGATGATAAAAATAGGCTACGCAAGTTAAATTCAATGAGAATTTGTTGCTTCACTAAATAAACATTATATGAGCGCTTCAAGTATAAAATATCTGCATGAGATGGTGACATTGAAACAGGTCCAGACCAAAACCAACGCGTTTATAGCTGCTATCCAGCAGATTTATAACAGCTTCCTACCCAGTCGTCCTCATCGGTCTCTCCCTCTCCACCTTAATCGCTATTGTCAATATTTTGAAGCATTTCTAAAGCCTGTTTCGTGGTTAGATTTCTTTTGAAAATTCAATTTTATGTATTAGCCAAAGTTTTCTCAGTAGAGTGTTGGTTGCTAGGCAATGGTAAAAATCAATTGCGGGAAGAATTTACAATGCAACTAATAAAGCCGCCAAATGATGGCTGTGGAAGATCGAGGTAAAATTAACCATATTTATTTTTTAGGTTTTTATTTTATTTAAAAAGGAATCTGAAAATGAAGAAAATATAAAAAAAGGAAAGGTCAGTTAACATGACCATTATATTATTAATATAAATAAAGTTATTTCCCTTCAAAATTTTAGAACCGTCAAAATGACTGCCTCGGGAGTTCTAGTGTTAATAGGAATCAATGCTCGCTGTCTGGTGAAACTAAATTAACTATATCTAAGTCTGTGATCTTGATTCAAAATAAAGGTTTGTGATGTTACTAAATGTAGCGCAGCAGTGAAATACCTTGACTCGCTCCTCAAACGGAACAACAAACGGGAGCTCTGTAAGGATGGCCAGGTGTCTCTCTTCAGACACAGAGAGCTGTGGAGGCTCCAAACCAACTGCAAGGATAAACACAAGTACAATATGTTGAACAAGAGCTTGTGTAGAAAAGCATGTAGTAAATATGTGAAGATGAAGATATATATACATACATATATATACAGTTGAACCAAAAAATTTTGACAATGCAAGAAGACTTTGGATTCAATGCTCTGTTTTTAAGAAAGCTGTTGAATAGTGAAAATAATGTTTTATGTATTTTCTATATCTACATAAGGTTTGAACAGCTGTGACTCTTAATTTACTAAACCCATCCAGGTTAATGTTTGCTTAGATTCAAGGTTTGGACGGATTAGCTCCAAGGAGGGGAAAAACAGCTCCGATCACTAAACTGCTCTTTACCCTCATCGTTCAAATGCAGCTCAATTATTCAGCTCAATTAGTCAACCTGATCTGCATTCTCCCATCAGGTTTCCATCTTTGAGGAGAAATATCGCCTTTGAGTGGTCAATACGGGGCTCATTTATCAGCACTGGGTCTGTCCATTTAAGGAAATGAGCAAAGGCCAGACAAACACATAGGCCAGATGTGGCTGAGTTCATCAGGTACTTTCACTCTAATTGAATTTATCTAATACGGGCTCCGAGTGGCATTAGGGAGATCATACACACATTGTTATCAGCCTGTTTTCACACTATAGGACACAGAAACGCAGATTAGTTAAAAGTGAGCCTAATGAGCCCTGCGTGAATCTGTGTTTCCATCTGAGTTTGGTTAAATGAGTCTGTGAAGACAGTGATTAGCATTGGCAAACATAGAGGCTCGGATTTCAGAAAGAAATCACTCATTTCCTGAGTCCACACAGACCCTAATGATTCATAAAATAAACTATGTAGAAAAAAAATGTGTGATTAAAATAAATACATTTAAAGATTTACTTGACGACATACTTTAAACACTTCTTAAAGAAATATAAAGATTATTTTTTATTTTATGAAGTTTAATGAGCATAAATACAAAACCTTTTGTAAAAACTCCATTATCTTAATTTAAAACAAATGGCTTAATGGTGGACTACAATACCATCCAGTGTAGACTGAAGAGGCCCAATGCGCCCCATCCGTCGTGTTCTCCACACGTGTCTCGCTGATGGGACATACAGCTGGGTGACCTAGACAGAAATAGGAAACGTAAAGATCCCCTTTTTCTTGCAGGTAAAGGATTACAGCTGCTTTAAGATTCAAAAACAAATTTTGCATAATATTTGACTTTTGTTGACTGAAACTGTCAAAATCTGATTTAATTTTCAAACATTTAGTAAGACTTGCTGCCTTTTCCTTGCTTTTTGGAAAAGCAAGTCGGTCCTTGAGTGTCACTGTCCTGCAGCTTTTATATGCATCCCTGCTCCAACAGACCTCAAAAGGTCAAAAAACCTCCTTGGCATGTTGGTAAGTTTAGCAGAGGCCTGGCCATTAACCATTCATCTTTTTTTAACAGTTGTGTTGAAGAAGGGACGTATGCAAACGCTAAAGAAAAGTGGCACTTGAGGATTAACATTGCAAGTACATCAGGGAAGCATGGCAAATTCTAAGATTAGCTTATCTTTGCTAAAATAGTATGCCTGAAATTACAATAGGGCAAACATAGTGGAAGCCATTAATTTATCCAGACTCTGATCAATCTCTCTAGATCTATCCAGTCTTAGGATAAAATATCTGAAGTTCTATAATGCAGGTTGAGCACCTTATCGGCTCGGATGTTGACCTCCTGAGACAGCCAGTGACCTGCCGGACAGAAAGGCCGCCGGATGTCGCGAGCTTTCAGCATCTTCACCAAGTTAGTGATGACCTGCGTTGTAGATCAAACACATACATCACATTAGCATATTAGCATAGCACATTAGCGACAGAAATATTCACTGCAGTCGAAAGCAAAGAGAGCAGTGAGGTCTTTTTTTTCCTCCTAATGTATTGACTTTGAACAGGATGGAGTGCTTCATCTTAGAGGGGGGAAAAAAAGCAATTTGAGAATTCAGCCATTAGTGCACCATTTATGGGGAGTATAAAAGAAAAACGACCTGTGCCGTCCCTCAATGCCCAGCCTTGTTAATTAACAGCGAGGTCTGCTGACATCAGCCGTCGAACAGAGAACGCCAAGGCTTTACAATTCCCCGTGCTTCGAGTACAAAACGGGCAGTCTAACAGGATGTTAAAAAGAAGTTAGTAAACTCTGATGTAACGTTGATGGTAGATAAAATTCTGTCATTTCTGTTGTCTCTGACTCTCCTTGGTGCCATTAAAAACCCTTTTCTGCTTATTTTTTTGCCAGAAAGTGAGCAGAAAAATCTAATTCCTATTAAGGAAGCATTTCTACAAAATATATTGCCATTTTAAAAAGCTTGTGTACCCTTTAACAGAGGACACAAGTGATGATAAAATTACAACTTACAAACTACAAAAAAAACAAGACTTCCACATCCAATTATTGTGGGCTTCTTTTCTGCTATAGCAAAACACATTTAGACACCTTTGAATAATGTCAAATATGTCATTGATGCAATTACATTCACAGCCAGTCCATTTCCATATAATACCCCTACTGGATTATCCCAATCGAAACCCTCCTCTATAAGGCATGTCATTTTCATAGAGCGACAATCAAAGCCGGCCAATCACCAGGAGGCAATAAGAGTCCGCAATAATGCCGAGTGCAAAATGATGTAAAAGGTGCGTGGAGATGGGCCGGGAGCAGATCCACCCTCTGACTCTGAGGATGAATAAGCATTCCTTAATTAGCCCATCGGGTTAAGTGCAAACCTTAATGGGCCTTTCCCAAACTCCGGCGTGACATCTCTCTCCAAACATGGCCAAGAAGAAAGTTCCATTAGCAATATTAATACAAGCTTAGTTGATCATTTTCATTCAATTAACTTCTTTCAATTAAATAGATAGCTCGACAATGGGGGCGATAAAAGATTGAGAGGGACGGCTGATGACACGAACCAAACATTAACGTGTTAGGGGTCAGTGGCGTTAAACCAACTGTAAATCCCACTGTTCAATTTGGAAAATGCATTTTCCCTGCTTCTCACTTCTTTAATGGGTCATTTTAGCTGACAGGAGGCCTTTGAACTGATCCTTTCTGAAAACTCCTCTGATGTGCTTTTGGTGTATAGTACACCTCCTTCCAAAAGCTCATGTTCACTCCCAACAGACAAAAACCAAAGTGACTTAAGCACCATTTGCTTCAATAAACAATAGACTGAGAAATTATCAAAGGTCTTGGCTGAGAGGAGTTCAGTTAATTCTGTTCTCTGCCTCATGTACCACCAGTAAACAACCAGTGGATAACCTCCTTGGCTCTGCATCTTGTCCTTGTCCATATTTTATAAAACTTTGAATGAGAGAAAATCATTACAATCCTCTGCATCAACAACAATTGAAACTATCCAGTTCCCCTAAATAACCTAGCTCTGCATGTGGATATATCAAATATTTTAAGGATAAAGAGAACTAAGAGGTTTGGTAAATGTAAATGACTAAAAATGTTCTTGCATGAGGCTGGCTAATAAAAAAAGGTTACTAAATCTGTTTAGGGGGAATGCTCTAGGATCTTCCCATCCATAAAGGAAATACATGGCTGATTTTGTTTTTATATATATATATATATATATATATATATATATATATATATATATATATATATATATATATATATATAAATATAATTTGTTTTCATGAAATTGAAGGGAGACAAATTACAAAATCTATTTTGAACTACACCACTCAGCCCTACAACCATGGTATATAATACCATTTAAAGGGGATAAAAGGAAAAGATTTAAACCAGGATAAAAGCAGGATGTGCCCATATTTTTGTCCCTAACCACAAATAAGTTTTAGTTGACAGAAATCCGTGCAAATCAATCCATCTTTTCCGATCCTTCTAAGAACATTTTTTCAAACATTCAGCTAAAATCTAACATGTTAAAAGGAACAAAAACATAACAGAGTTTCAACTTAAGACATCTAACCAAATAATAACAGGGGTCTATGCATTTATTTATGGATTTCTGTATAATTCCAAAGACGTGGATTTATTAAGAATAGTATTTGTCAACATGAGCGGCCAGTTTTTAAACATTTGTTGTAAGACAATTAACCCATAAAACAAACAAAAACACCAAAAAGCAAGAAACAGATGCCATTTATATATTAAATTGTTTTGTCAATGTTAAATGTCAGTACATTTTCTAAATGAATGAAACAGAAGGTTTTTGGGTTTTTTTTGCAAATCTACCCAAAGTCGGTTAGAGGAATCTGACTTGAGTTTTGAAATGAGCAAGAGCTAGTTTGTTATTTACCTTGAAGAGCTGCACCCAGCGTTTCTGCTCAGCCTGGATGCGCTGCTGGACCTCAGCGTTGGTCTTCACGCCCACGCTGCGGAAGGCAGCCATGTACTCCTCCCTGTGCTCTGCTTTAGTTTCAGGGTAGGCAAGCTTGATGATTCCCAGACACGCATCTCTCAGACAACGGGACAAAGTCACCAGTTCGGCCAGAGTGAAGGGCATCATAGAGGACTGCATCGGACCTGCTCAGAAGGAGAACATGCTCAAAGCCTTGGAACATGTTTTTTATTTTATCTTTAAATCTCAGAAAACTAAACACTTATTTAACAGGGGGCACTGAATTAAAGGCGACTGATGGAAGTTACAAACATTACAACAAACCAGGGATTAAATGCGACTGATCTATGCACTTAAAATGAAAGAGAAATATTAATAAACACTCTTTCAGACTCATAAATTGGGGCGAGCCTTTAAGGTAGCCTCCTAAGGACTTTGTCGAACCAAAATTAGATTTTAACCCACTGAAAATTATCAAAAGTCTGGACTTTGTCCTTTTAACACATGGTTATGCTTTTATTTGCAGCTCCTGTTAGATGTTGTCCGGCTGGAAAGTGAATCATAATCCTATCTCAGTATTTTGCAGCTTCTAATGTAATTACACTCCAGTCATTTCCCCACCAACTCTGACCAGCTTCCCACAGTTGGATGCTGCGACCACTGTGTTTCTACGTAACGATATTTTTTTCAGGAGGATGCATATTGCATACTTTTAAGACACATTGAGTTTTTGCATAAATGACAAAAAGTTAGATTTTGACTTCATGTCAAGAACTCATTTTCTCTGGTCCTAATGATGCAGTTAGTTCACCGAGGTTCTTTAAGAAACCTTGGGCATTTCCAAAACACTGAAACTAAATCACAAAAAGTTTTGCTTCATAACTAGTACATTTACTTCTGAGGCAACTGGAAGTGGTATTAGAGTAACAAGATGCGAATGCACACACACCAGATTTCTTTTTTTTTTCTTTGAGGAAACCAAACTTCTTTTTTTTCCCCACCCATGTGCTTTGTTGTGATGGTGAATCAAATCGACTTCCAATTACATGTTTTTAAAATTTACTTCGAATACAAATGAGTATATATATGCAAGGCCCTATAATAAAACCTAGACAAAATCTCAATGGTAATTAACAAAAGATAATAAGGACACTAACTTTTCACATTTGAGCACAAAGACTAGGAATGTTACTTCAGATCATAATAGATCTATGTACAACCATGCTTATTAGATTGACATAACCAGTACCTTCAATTTCATGCCCGAAGAATTCACTGTCATGGACAGAAATAAGAGAGTGACTGAAGAGAGAGCTGAAGAGGTAAAAGAGTGGGATGATTCGGTTTGAATCTTCAAATGACATGGGAGAACCTCGGGAGATCAGCTGGAGCAGTGGCACCATGGAGCTACGGAGGAAAAACACAGATAAGAAGAAATTAGGCATGATAAAACTAGTGGCTTTATGGGTCACAGAAACATGCATCAACACAGCATCTTACCCAGTGATCATTTTAGTTGTCATGGAGGTTATCAGGTGCCAGAGATGCCTCAGGAACCGAGTATTGAAAGCTAAGCTGTACAGGAGTCTGCAGACAACAGATGAATTAATAACCCAGGGTTCATCAAAAAGATTCAAGACCCAAATGCATTAAAGGGAGTTTAAATAACACAATCAGTGCTAGAAGCAATAAAATTACTCTCAGCCAAACGGTCTGCAGCATGGGGATTGTTAACTCGGACTCGTTTATCAGGAGACACAGAAAAGGATGAAGACATTCTAACCAAACATTTCACTTAGAGAATTTTCCTGGCCTTTCCCTCCTTTTATACTTTGCAAAGGGGGCAAAAGGAGATTAAATGAGCCATTAAGCTTTATTTAGGCGAGGCACCTTCCATTAGTAAACTAGTTGCTGGCGAGGGTGCCCAGCTCGGGTCATAAACAGCCCTGCTGGCTTCCTGCTGGAGCCCCCCATTTAAGATAATGACCAGGGAACTAGGACAATAGGAGGAGGGGCACCCTGGTCCTTTCCGTGACCCCTGAGTACTAGCATGCTTCCACACTCAGGTCGAATTAGTCAAGAATCAGCAGCCACATACCTCCCTGTTATTTCTCAAGACTTGCCAGGTTGTGGCAGGAAGGTGTGAAGGGCTTCTTTGTTCCAGAGGGTGTTTGTTTGTGTATATAGACGGTGCAATTGCACCACTTTTCACACCGAGGGTAAGTAAAGGTGACCATAGTGTGGTAAGTAAGCTAAAAAATAAAATAAAGTGTCTGTGAATGGAATAGCCCCTCACCCTAGGATTGACAGCTGTAAAGAAGCTATCCTTTAACAAGGCAGCAACTAAAAGAGAGACAACAAAGGAGAGAGAACATCCAAATTCAAAATATAAGCCTTTAAATTCCATCCGTTCCTTTCAAATACATCAAAGCTCATTCAGAAATCCTAAATTAGAAATGAACATTAGGGGGGCAAACTGTCAGGTGAACCCTCAATAAGGCTTGAAAAATGGCTGGTGTCGAGCACAGACCATCTGTCAGTGCAACAAGGCTCCGAAGAGAAGCACGGAGCAGCGCTGGGGGCTCATAACAAGCCCGGCTGGTGTTTGATTGAAATGAGAAACAAAGCACTAAATGCCAGCTGACCTGCTGATTTACGGCCGCGCCCCTCCCCGATTTCAATCATGGAATGAAGCGCTAATAAACAAAGTCAAAGAATCAAAAGGAAGGGTGCGTGTATGTGTGCGCGTGCGAAAAGTGTCTTGATAAATAATGTCTGGATCGTTTCATTTCACTGTGATGAAAAGGGAAAAAAAAACATGGAGGACGTGGGTTGGGTCAGACTGGAAACCACAAAGCCAGAGTGAGTTTCTGCCTCCATGCAAAAAAGATCTACATGATCATTACTTCACAGCAACTCAGAAATCACACCAACTATCTAAAAGTAAATGTGGATCCCTTCCATCAAAGGGGAACCCGTTAGCAGATTAGTGCTGAGCTGGAAAATTACACCACATATCTAACTTAAGCAATTAAAAGGGAAATTGCAAGACTGTCATCAGAGCGAACAGAAGCTCCATTCACTGATCAAGTCAAATAAAATTTAAAAAATATTTCAAAAAATTACTCAGAATAAAGAAATGTTAAACACTTTTCCATATCTACTACAAAGGAAGTGTGCTGGGCCTCCTGCATGCTGCCAGTCTCTTCCTTTTTTTGCTGTTAAAGCAGTAAATCAAGACCGGGATGCAATTTGCTCCCCTTAGCCTCTTGTAAAGCTATCCCGTCCGCTCCTGCAGTGATTAATCTTTCTACGTGAGCTAATTATTTTGTTACAGATATCCAATAATGATGGAAGACGAAGGACAAGATTTATGATAAAAGTGGGGAAGAGAAGGAGGAAGCTGTAAAAGAGGACAGAGACCAACCAATCCTCAAGAACTCTGCAACATTAAACCAAACTACGAGGTAAATTTAGTATCCAAGGAGAGCCTTTTCCCCCATTTATTGCTGGAAAATGGCTAAAACACAGTCAGCTTGGATGAGAAGCATAAGTAAGCATTAATTTGGGAGACTTGCCACTGATGATCAATTGGATTTGTTCTGTACTTTGACTGTGCCGTTCTAATTCATTAAGATCTCTCTAACCATGTACAATAAATACCAACATCCTCCTGTTATACTTAAATATGCCTTATGTTCTCATTGCATAGAGCTGATTTAACACATGTGGACATTTTAAGTATTTGTATTGTTTTTTTTTTTCTTCGCCTGCTTATTGGCATTCAAAGTGTAGAGCAAAGGAAGAAGTTTATTACAAAGGGAAAGTTGACCTTGTGTAGAACAACAAATGTGAAACTGGACTGAAAATGGTCTCTTGTTGGATCTTTTCCCCTAATTGCTCAGTTTTCAACCTCAGCCATATTTCAGATCTATTTTGCCATCCATGCTAAAGAAAAGCATACCCACAGCATCATGCTGCCACTGCCATTTTTTACCTCAAGGATGACAAACAGCAACAGCTTTGTGCTACTCACAGCTTTTTGGATTTAGATTAAAAATATCGATCATAGTCTCTTCTTTGTGACTGTGTGTGGTAGAAAACCCTGTTAAAACACTGAACTGTGTGGTTACAATGTGTTAATGGGATAAAAAGTGTGTTTAGGACAGTCTGTAGCCTCAGAAAATATACACAATTCCCTATCAGATACATTTAAACTGCCAGGTAAAGACTCCATGAATGATTAACTCCACTGGATTACCGCCCACAAGGCTGAGTCTAGCTCACTCCATGTTAATGTCATTAATGAGGAAAAGGGTTCATTTCCTCTCATCCAGAATGAATGGCTTCCCTGACATCTCTACCGGTTATAAATACCAGTAGGTACAGACCAAAGATAACTGCCTGTCGAAATCCCCTCCTAAGCTACACAGCCCAAACCCCAACAGAAACAAAAACATGTTTACTCAGTTAACGAAAGGCTCCTGCTTCTGTATCGTTGACTGCAGAATTCACAGAAACATTTTTTTTATGTTGTGTACAACAGTGTTGAAATAAGAAGCCTAATTCTTTAGGTTCTTACTAATGAAAAGATGTAGTTTGGGCCTTTTTTCCTACCTAACTTTAGGAACCATTAGACGATGTTGCACCATGAGTGTGTGACAAATGGATGCCATCATGGTGAAGACTTCCTCGCGGACTGTATCCCCCCAAACCAGGTTCAGCAGCGCGTTGGTTTGCCGCTTCGTGTCCAGCTTGTGGACGCATTCCTCCGTTATCAGCTGCACAGAAATCCGGCTGTTGTCCTAACAGAGACCAAAGGAGATGCTGTTCATGACAATGGGCTTAAGAGTACACAAATGAAATGTGTTTTGCTTCATCATCAAAAATCTGCTCAATTTGGCAAATAGGTTTTTATCCAATAATGACTTATAAGAGCAAGTCATATCCTATTGTTACACCAACAACATGAACATTTGCACCAAAAGTGGTGCATAAACTTAAGACTAGAAATCAATATCTTTGATATCCTGAATGTTAATTTATTTTTAAAAAGTCATTAAATGTAGTCAAAATGAAATATCACATGTCGCATCAAATGTAACGAAACACCAAAGGCTCCTACATCTTTGCAATTTTCAACTTTAATATTTTAGACTCCAATTTCTACATTCTGGACATTTAGTGCAAAGTTTTATCCTCAAACTTGATAATAATAATAATGGTTGAGTATTTTGTGAACATATCAAAAACCAAATTATGCTTCCAAATTTTTAAAGCATTGTATAGCAGCACATCTTTTATACTATCAAGCTAACTTTGTTTTAGAGTAACGTTTTCATGACTGTTACAAGTCATGTTTCTAAGGCAGATTTTTTTTTTCTTTCAAAGCACAGTTTGTGGAATTTGAAGAATTTGGTTTTTAAAACCAGCCAAAATTTAAGAACATTTAATTTTCAAATTGCAGAGGCACTCAAATTTGCGTTACATTTAAAGGAAAATTCCGTTTTTTAACACTTTTAGCCCATTTTCTGTAGTGTCCAGGATGAAATCGAATGATCGACACCAAAATTTTGACGATTGGT